GTTGGTTGGCCCATGGATTTTTTCAAACCATGGGTTGACGGTGGACCCAGAAGGTAGGAACCTGCGTTTCTTAAGTTCCGCAAGACTAACTGGTGCCAAATAGCTGGCTTTCTCTGAGCTCTCATCCCACAAGCCCTGGGCATCTGCATAAGTATACCTTCAGCCCTGCGGGAATGAGCCCCGTCCGAATTGATCCATACTTCCACTCAGACCCTGGTTTGGGTTCTGCCTTTCTTTTGGGGGCCTTTGGCTTGTCAGGCTTACCCTTTGATTTTTTTGGGGGTGCTTTTCGATCCCCGTCGTCGGATTCATCATCCGCATCATCCTCACCATCCTGAGCACGTGCGGCAAGGACAGCTGGCACGTACTGGTTCTGCAGAGCGAAGGGCTCCGGCGCAGCCACGTTCTTCAAGGACTCGAGCACCTGAGATGGGAGCAGCATGTTGCTCTTGTTGAAGTTAAATATGGCAAGGGAAAACAAATTTAGTTTGCTTGTTTGGTCGGGACCCATTCCAAATAGATTTCAAAACAGAGATGCTATCATATGGGGAAATGTTTGATCGCCTGCAGCTGCATATATACCTACCGTTAGAAACCCAGAATGGGAAGTTTTCAAATCGATGCTGTGGTCCATGAAACATCATAATCAGAAATCCAATCGAGAAACATATGTAGGCAGAACATGTGGGTTGACCCGTGGCTCCGTTTGGTGCCCTTCTTGTTGGTGCAATGCTGTTGGACTAGTCGTGGGTCCCACATCCTCCTCTTGTGCACGTTTCATATTTTGAAGAATTTGAGTGACTTCAGCAACCCTGTCATTCCTGATGGTTGCAGCAACTTTCGGACTGATTGGGATTTTGGAATCAACCGAATTTGGCTGAGCTGGCTCAGGCTTTTTCATGTCAATCACACCAACGGCCTTTGGCTTCTCAAATAGATTCCTTACAGCCTGTAACTGCTCAGCAACACGTCTAACCTTATCCCCTTGGAGCGAAGAAAGACTGGACGTCACTTCGCTCGCCCCCGAAGGATCGCTGCTGGTTGCCGTGGACAAATGCTCAAGGCCAGAAGGGTCACCACGGCCACGATTCCGGCTGGACGCCTTGGCGTTGGCTCCCATATTGAAATATTTGCTTCATAGACTTGATTCAGTGTATGCCATGGGACCCAATGCCACTAGTAAATCGCTGGCTTATTTGGTTTGGATTTTGAAACATCAGCTAAGTTAACGATATCAGCCACGGCCACCAAGCAAAACTTATGTCACATATATATATATATGTATATATATATATAGACAGATAGATCGATAGATCGATAGATCGATCGATCGATCGATAGATAGATAGATAGATAGGTAGGTAGGTAGATAGATAGATAGATAGATTTTTTTATTGAAGGTATACATTGTATACATGCGCACTTAAATGAATATGCATATCTACATGTTATATGTATAGCTAAATACATACATGAATTCAAACTATATACTTGGGTCTATCTGTCCGACTATCCACCTACCCATATCATCTAGATCTATATATATATTTTTTTATATTTATAAACTTATATGTGGAAAACCATCCATAATCGAAAAATCCGGTCATCGAAAACAAGAACGATATTAAATTTCAGCGACTAGTGGCCGATCCACTCCTCGGGGAAAAATCATACCCACGTTTTCTCGCCTCCTCCTTCATGCTTGTGAGCCTCTTGGATTTGCCCGCGTTGGACCGCTTCACTAAACGGCGAAATCTGGAAGCCTTGGATGGGAAAATGGTAGGGCAACATACACTGTGGAGCAACTTTATTTTTCTTAGGACCGCCCAATATATACCCCCGGAAATGGTGCTAACAGAATTTACATCCACAACAGTGTGTCAGAAATATTGGCATCTTGAGTGACACAGTCATTAAATAGAACCATGGTGTACGGCTATGATGTGCAATTGGGTTATTAGTCACTGTGATTTTTTTACAATGGGATAAATCAACATATATGATATGATCGTTGGTTGAGATGGTTGGTTAAGGGAAAAAATATTACCACTTCAATTTTCCGATGTATGAGCTGAAACCCCGAACACATTAAGGGTCATTCACGTTTGAACGATATATAACAAAAATTGAAACTAGCCAAAGGTCCAAACGTTTCAGGGCTTTTGCCATTTTCACTGCCCATTCCTGGGCCGAAACCATCTCTGCAACCACCCCGTTCGGGAACAGACGTTGCTGTGTGTAAAAATGCGGGATTGCCCGCTTCAACACATGATGCGAAAGATGGGAGCGACCATTGGCACCCTTGATAACGGCCAAAAGAACCTTTCAGGGTCACCAAAACAATCCGAAACATATCGGAACCAATCGAGCAACAGAACCAATGATAAATTGAATGAACCCATATATTCACAAAAATTGAACGTTGTTTATCGTTGTTTACTTTACAACTGCAACCTCTTTGTTGCTAACGACGTCCTTTATCGTCGGCTTGGACACATTGGAAAAGAGTTTCCCTGAATGGTCAACAACCAGTGTCATACCCACCTCAGATGGACGGGCAGAAAGCAAAGGAAAATCAATTTGTTTCAATGCGAACAAACTCGCTAGTATGGTAAGTCAAATGGAAAACTCATGTAAGTAGGATATATGGGGTAAACCATATGGGCAAACGGGGCCAAGAATCTCCCCTCAATGCTTTGGTTTCATTGAAGGCGCTCACAAATGGTAAATGGACATCGGCACCAATGTCATGGTCGGAATCATCATCACTAGTCGAGCCCGCCATTGCTGGGACGGACTTCCCAGAGTAAACCAGCGGCTGAAGTATGTAAATGCACATGCTGTGAACACCACGGATCGTATAGGATAATATTAAGTAGATCTGTTGAGTTTTTGGCCTACGCCCACGAACAAGTACCAATCATCCCCAACCACCACCAATCATCCCGCAGCGGAAAGCAGGTGGTGGCGCACTTGCTGAGTTTCTCCCAGCCTGGCGCGCGGGCAAGGTGTGATGCTGCAAATGGAACACTGCCAAAGTATCATCGCATTGGGGCCATTCGATCATATGCTTCAAAACAAGAATCTCGGGTTCCAAAGGACAAAAAAGAAAGGGTCATATTCCACGGTTTTGTTGGCAGCCCGCTGGCATCAAACCAAATATGATTTGAAACTTGTGGGTGTGAGCAACTCCACAGTCTTGAAACAATTGGATTGGAAGTCGATCCACAGACTGATTTATTTGAAAACTGAAATCAGGGCGGGCTCACCATGCAAGGTAGGCCGTAGCATTTGACACCAGTGGCTGTAGCACCTCGCCATGCGAATGTCCAACATGCCACAACTCTAAAATGTACATCATCTTTGTGTTTGACAGTAAGCAAAGTATAAACATTGTTTTCAATTCTGGATTGCCTGAGCATTTGAACCATGATTCCCTTGACTACTGTACTTCTTCGGTTCGATTTGCAGAAGCCTCTGTTCACCAATGTTGGGGAGCGCAAACGCCATTGCGGCAGCGCCGCCAAAGTCAAACCATGGCAGACATGTGAATAATGCCAGAGTCTATGGGTGGATCTCAAGATGATCTCAACCAATACCTCAAAATCATTGTACAATGGTTTTGTTTTGCACTGATCTTCCTCCAAAAATCAAAACCTGATAAAACGCATACTATTTGAAGTTCAGCCTGCAGTTTCACAGCTGGCCATGGGGCCACTTCGTATCCAGAGTCGTTATTGGCGATACCGGTCCGAGTGAGAAAAAATTGTGCATGCCAAAACCACAAGGAACTTTGATATGTGTGGGTTGTCAGAGGTGTTGTGTTCCAAAACCCCACTCCGTCCCCTTTTGGGGTTGCCAACATACTTCGGCTTATGTTGATGTAATTTCAAATGAGTTTGCAAAATAGACTCCCCATACGGACATGGTGTTCCTGCTTACTTCTCTGTTTCACATTAAATAGAATCCATGTTAACTATGTTTTTTTGTACATATATATATATTGTTTTAAATTGATGCTTTGTATTTATAATTACATGGAATCCCAATGTTTTTGTTGCATGCACCTGCGCATGCCAACCTAAGCAAAGCTTTCACGATACTTGTTGATGTGTCATCTAAACATTCAGGTATGTTTTCCATGTAAATGTTTAAGTGCAGGTGTGTGCGTGTGTAAATGTCTATGCAAGTATCCATACCTATGCATTAAACATGTGTATGTGCACACATATGTATGTGTATGTGTTTGTGTGCGCATTCATGCATGCATAGTGAATTGATATGTATATATGGATGTGTGCACATGTCTACTGTATGAATTTTGCGGAAAAGAATAAAGATGTCCATTACATGTATTGTGATTGCACATGTGCATGTCTGTGTGCATGAAACATACATCTCATCATACATGTATGCGTATAAAGCCATTGCATTTACCGCACCTACACTGAAATTGTTCATGCATGTTTATACACACGGTCCCAATTATCAACATACGTAGAAGCCACTGCAACACCAATCTTACATGTATATGTTACGTTTCCCCACAAATCCTGGTTTATCAAACTTTGGGGCTTTGACGTGGAAAAACCGCCCGAAGATGATTGTTTCTTTTGGTTGGTGCAAATACAAATGAATAAATAAATAAATATATATATATATCTATCTATCTATCTATCTACTATGTATATATACATATATATATATACATATCCTTACATATTATATTGGTGCTTTCCCAATATGTAGGGAAAGTTTTTTTCGTTGTGAAGCTGGCCAAGTGCTGGGAATGGCAGCAGCACAAAGCACCGAAATCTGTACATGCAAAGTTTTTGCAAACCTCTCAGATCCCACGATCCATATTGACGTATCTTGTCACCTATTTCATAGCCCGGCCACGGTTTTCACGAGTTTCATGATTTTCACGGTTGCTATCTTTCATTTTCACGGCCAAATCGTTTTTCACGGCCATTTGTAATTTTCACGGCCATTGGTGGTTTTCACGGCCATTTGCTCATTCGACCTTCGGCCTCCTTTTTCGTGATTGAAAGGTTGCCCAGGAAGTCGGAGTATGAGACCTCCGTGTTGATCTGCGGCTGCTTAAGGGGGGCGGAGAAGTCAGCCACATTGATGGATGCCGCAGCCTTCATGTTGGCCTCTTGTTCTTCGTCCGGAGTCTCCCCTTCCTTTGGTTGGATTTTCCACGTGACCCCTTCGTCCGTGATCATGAGTTTCCAGGTGACTCCATCTATCTCCTGAGTCATGCCCATGTCCTTCATCTTGTGTATGCGGGATCCAGTCTTGCCGCATGCCCCATGCACTTGCCCGCCTGTTGCGGCTTGAGCCAGGGGTACTTGCAGTGTTCGCAGATGAAGTCTGAGAGCTCTGGGCCTGCCTCCAACTTGTGGATCGTCGTGGCGTCCCGCTGCTTGGTGCTCCGCCGCGAGAATCTTTTCGTGCTGCAACTTCTTGGTAGCCAGTCCGTAGCTCTCAAGGATCCTGTGGAAAGAGGATGAGGTGAGTGCCTCGAGGTTGCCAAAGATGGACAGAAGGTCCCGAAGATCGCCCCGGGTAAAGTCGCGGAGCATGTTCCTGATATTGCCCGGGACCAGAGGAAGCTCCTGGCCACCATTTGTGATGCGGTAGGTGTTTACCGTAGCCTTCTCAAAGTCCACCAGTGCCTTAGTATCGCTCCCCTCTTCCTGGCCGCTACTAGCTGGCCCAGGTTGGGTACTGGTACCTTGGTCCACAGGTTGGCCCTTATAGTGGCCAGCTTTTGCATGGCAGCAGTCAGTTCCGTGAGAGACTTCCTTAGGTCCACCTTAGTGGTGTTCTGAAGCATCGTGTAGTCGTCCAAGGGCGCCCCCGAAAGAGTGAGGCTGGCCGCATCTTCTTCATTCTTGTGGGTCTCCGCCACCTGCTCAGCCATCTGGTAATCCGCGGTGGTGATCTCCGTGAGTTGGTCCACCAGTTGGAAGCTTCCCTCAGACAGCATCTCGGAGTCCAGGGGGGGTTTCCATAGCGACTTCACCAGACGCAGCGGCAGCAAAGGACTTAGGAGCCATAGCTGAAAAACAAAGCACGAAGGCGAATGTAGGAGAGCGAAATTCAAACTTTCAGAAGTCTGTTGACACAAGCTTGAGCCAAAATGGCCAGGCCATTTTGGCAATATGATTCCGACAACACATTGCTTGCTTTCCGCAAGCTCCACGCAAGTACAAAATATTAATGTATGCATTGGCCACGCTGCCTGGGACGCATGAGCCACCCCCGGGCCTGAGCAACAGGCCTTTGCTCTGGCGACCTATCGCTGTTCTGCGCTTCCATGACTTTGATTGTATCTCGGTCAACCCGGTTACTTCCAACTATATAGACCCCTTAGCAATCAGCTCTTCATGCACAAGCTTCCCACGGCGTTCAGCCAGCTCTTGCCAGCTTCGGTGCCTCATCTGCACAACATCATGTTCTCCCAGCATTACGTACGAATTTGAGCTTGAGCAGCCTACTTTGGATCTCCATCTGCTCTTTGTCCAATAGTTTGCAGCCTCTCTGTCATTCTACCTGGTGGACCATTTTCCGCACATGGCCAATGGGGTGCGTTGGACGCGTTGGCCCATTGGACTCCTAAGTTTGCGGGCACGCCCACCCACAAGTACCAGAACATGGCCTGTGCGGGGATGTTATCCTCTGATTGCTGACATTTTCCTTACCTTACCGTACCGTCGTTGCTTCCTCATACCCGGACTTGGCCCTAGTTGCTTTGAACTGAGCATGTCTCGGGGCAGCTCGTGGCTTTTCAGCGCAATTAGATTCGTAGGACCTGGGCAACCTTTGCACTCGCCGCGACCGTTTGAGACATTCATCATGTACTGCACCTCCTCTGATCCACAATGGACAGAATTTGGGGGGATCGCGAATCCCGGGATCTCGATGCTCAGCTACGGCTGATAGCCAATGGGTATTTCACCTTGATCCCCCGCAGCAACTTATCCCTTGACGCTCAATATGCAGCAACAGTGAGGGCGCTGGCTCTTTTCTCCCAATGGCTGGCAGTCACGCAGACCTTGAGCCAGGACAGCAACATCACACACAGCTCTGCTTATTCACATGCTGTCCATGACGGTCTCACGTCGTCTACACTACATGTGGAAATCGCTTCACCCTGAGTGCTCCAGCACCCATCCTCTATAATAAAACGGCGATGCTGGACAGTGAGTACGACATGGAAACAAAACACTGTAAAAGAGATAAGTATCTAAAGAAGAAAAAGTCTATACATAAATAGAATCCAGCTGAACTATCCTCGCTTGATAGTGACCGGTTAGTTACACAGCACATATTCTCGGTCTGCCTAACTTAAGCTTGAACCTAAATTTTGTCAGGTGACTCCTCCATTGCCGGAGGTGCCTTGAGAGACTCGACTTAATTTCTCTCTGCCTCTCACTCTCCTCTCCTCGTCTTGCATGTGCGCTCCATGCTTCAGCACGTATCTAAACAACTTGAAGGTTTCCCTCCTGAAATTCAGTCCATGCCAAAGCTTCCCCAGCAAATGCTCCGGCACATGGACCACGAACAACTCCGCCCTTCCCGCCTCCAAGGCGTAAGCAATTTCATCGCCTGAACCGCCACGAAGGACAGTCCATTGGTGGGCGCCGGCGGACGAGAACTTCATGACCATGACGTCGTTGCCGCCGGCGTTGCTTTGGCTGTCGAGGTCAGTGCTGGTAGAGTACCCACCGACAATAATGGCGTCTGAGCTGTCCACCTGTGCCAGCTTGGTCTGGACAGGAGGTCAAAGCTGCGTAGGCACTGCAAAGAACACATATCCGCCGACCCCGGCAGACGCAAGGGGGAGTGCGTAAGGGAAAAAGAGTTTATGACACAGCTGCCAGGAAAGAATAATAATAATTCGCTGACCCCGGCCGATGCAAGGGGGAGCGCGTAAGGGAAGAAGAGGTGCTGCACTGCTACTTTTACTACCAGGCAGCAGCAGGCAGCAGCAGGCAGCAGGCAGCAGGTAGCAGCCAGCAGCAGCCAGCAGCAGCCCGCACCAGCCAGCAGCAGCCAGCAGCAGGCAGCAGTAGGTGTTTGGCAGGCAGCATCCGGCAGCAGCAACCAGCAGCAGCTGGCGTTAGGCAGCCAGCAGCAGCCAGCAGCAGCTAGCAGCAGCCAGCAACAGCCAGCAGCAGGCAGGAGCAGGCAGCAGCCAGCAGCAGGCAGGAGCAGCAGGTAGCAGCAGGCAGCCGCAGCAGGCAGCAGTAGGTGTCTGGCAGGCAGCATCCGGCAGCAGCAACCAGCAGCAGCCGGCGTTAGGCAGCCAGCAGCAGCCAGCAGCAGCCAGCAGCAGCAGCAACAGCCAGCAGCAGGCAGGAGCAGGCAGCAGCCAGCAGCAGGCAGGAGCAGCAGGCAGCAGCAAGCAGCAGGCAGCAGTAGGTGTCTGGCAGGCAGCATCCGGCAGCAGCAACCAGCAGCAGCCGGCGTTAGGCAGCCAGCAGCAGCCAGCAGCAGCCAGCAGCAGCAGCAACAGCCAGCAGCAGGCAGGAGCAGGCAGCAGCCAGCAGCAGGCAGGAGCAGCAGGCAGCAGCAGGCAGCAGGCAGCAGGATTCTATTTTAATTTTATTTTATGGCAGCAACAGCAAGAGCAACAGCAACAACAACAACAACAACAACATTCTTGCAGCCATGGAACCAATAACACAAAGCTGCAGCAGCAGCAGCAGCAGTTGTTTCTTGCTTTGGAAGCTGTTTGATTGCAGCAGCACGACAGCAGCACCACAGCAGCAGCAGCCACCAGCAGCAGCACCAGCAGCAGGCAGCAGGCACTAATGGGTGTCAAGAACGTGGGCAAGAGCACGCAAAAGGTGCACATAGCCAGTAGCTAGCAGCCAGCGCCAGTAGCAGCCAGCAGCCAGTAGCCAGCAGCCTACCAAAAATCTAGATTTTTCTAGGATTTCAGACGACACGTTAGGCACTTTTTTGGCGTGGTTCTGGCACTCGCTCGTCCTTCAGAGCCCTGGTGTTTTCCCCCCGGAAGGTGATTTTTTCGAACCTGTTTTACTGCTAGCAGCCACCAGCAACAGAATCTGTCGAAAAATTGTGTTTTTCTAGGATGTCAGACGACACGTTAGGCACTTCTATATATCTTGTATATATGTCTATAGGGTTTCAGACGTCACGTTTGGCAATTTTCTCATTTATATGGCACCAATGGGTGTCAAGAACATGGGCAAGAGCACGCAAAAAGGCAGCAGCAGCAGCAGCAGCAGAAGTAGCAGCAGCAGCAGCAGTTGTTTCTTGCTTTGGAAGCTGTTTGATTGCAGCAGCACGACAGCAGCACCACAGCAGCAGCAGCCACCAGCAGCAGCACCAGCAGGAGGCAGCAGGCCGCCGCAGGCAGCAGCAGGCAGCAGCAGACAGCAGCAAGCATCAGTAGGCAGCAGCAGACACAAGCAGACGCAGCAGCAGTAAGCGCAACGGCAGCAGTGCAGCAGCTAGCAGCACGAAAAATTGTGTTCTTCTAATGGGTGTCAAGAACGTGGGGAAGAGCACGCAAAAGGTGCACATAGCCAGTAGCTAGCAGCCAGCGCCAGTAGCAGCCAGCAGCCAGTAGCCAGCAGCCTACCAAAAATCTAAATTTTTCTAGGATATCAGACGACACGTTAGGCACTTTTTTGGCGTGGTTCTGGCACTCGCTCGTCCTTCAGAGCCCTGGTGTTTTCCCCCCCGGGAGGTGATTTTTTCGAACCTGTTTTACTGCTAGCAGCCGCCAGCAACAGAATCTATCGAAAAATTGTGTTTTTCTAGGGTGTCAGACGACACGTTAGGCACTTCTATATATCTTGTATATATTTCTATAGGGTTTCAGACGTCACGTTTGGTAATTTTCTCATTTATATGGCACCAATGGGTGTCAAGAACATGGGCAAGAGCACGCAAAAGGGCAGCAGCAGCAGCAGCAGAAGCAGCAGCAGCAGTTGTTTCTTGCTTTGGAAGCTGTTTGATTGCAGCAGCACGACAGCAGCACCACAGCAGCAGCAGCCACCAGCAGCAGCACCAGCAGCAGGCAGCAGGCCGCCGCAGGCAGCAGCAGGCAGCAGCAAGCATCAGTAGGCAGCAGCAGACACAAGCAGACGCAGCAGCAATAAGCGCAACGGCAGCAGTGCAGCAGCTAGCAGCACGAAAAATTGTGTTTTTCTAGGATGGCACCAATGGGTGTCAAGAACGTGGGCAAGAGCACGCAAAAGGTGCACATAGCCAGTAGCTAGCAGCCAGCGCCAGTAGCAGCCAGCAGCCAGTAGCCAGTCAGCCTACCAAAAATCTAGATTTTTCTAGGATTTCAGACGACACGTTAGGCACTTTTTTGGCGTGGTTCTGGCACTCGCTCGTCCTTCAGAGCCCTGGTGTTTTCCCCCCCGGGAGGTGATTTTTTCGAACCTGTTTTACTGCTAGCAGCCGTCAGCAACAGAATCTATCGAAAAATTGTGTTTTGCTAGGGTGTCAGACGACACGTTAGGCACTGCTATATATCTTGTATATATTTCTATAGGGTTACGTGACGTTTGGCAGTTTTCTCGTTTATATAGCACCAATGGGTGTCAAGAACATGGGCAAGAGCACGCAAAAGGTGCACATAGCCAGTAGCTAGCAGCCAGCGCCAGTAGCAGCCAGTAGCCAGCAGCCTACCAAAAATCTAGATTTTTCTAGGATTTCAGACGACACGTTAGGCACTTTTTTGGCGTGGTTCTGGCACTCGCTCGTCCTTCAGAGCCCTGGTGTTTTCCCCCGGGAGGTGATTTTTTCGAAACTGTTTTACTGCTAGCAGCCTCCAGCAGCAGAATCTGTCGAAAAATTGTGTTTTTCTAGGATGTCAGACGACACGTTAGGCACTTCTATATATCTTTCTTGTATATATTTCTATATGGTTTCAGACGTCACGTTTGGCAATTTTCTCATTTATATGGCACCAATGGGTGTCAAGAACATCGGCAAGAGCACGCAAAAGGGCAGCAGCAGCAGCAGCAGCAGCAGCAGTTGTTTCTTGCTTTGGAAGCTCTTTGATTGCAGCAGCACGACAGCAGCACCACAGCAGCAGCAGCTACCAGCAGCAGGCAGCAGGCCGCCGCAGGCAGCAGCAGGCATCAGTAGGCAGCAGCAGACACAAGCAGACGCAGCAGCAGTAAGCGCAACGGCAGCAGCAAGATTCTATTTTAATTTTATTTTATAGCAGCAACAGCAACAGCAACAGCAACAACAACAACAACAACAACAACAACAACAACATTCTTGCAGCCATGGAACCAATAACACAAAGCTGCAGCAGCAGCAGC